CAACATCTGTACAAAGACCCCTAAAATATGTACAAAGACCCCAACATCTGTACAAAGACCCCTAAAACCTGTACAAAGACTCCAACATATGTACAAAGACCCCTAAAACCTGTACAAAGACTCCAACATCTGTACAAAGACCCCTAAAATATGTACAAAGACCCCAACATCTGTACAAAGACCCCTAAAACCTGTACAAAGACTCCAACATATGTACAAAGACCCCTAAAATTTGTACAAAGACCCCAACATCTGTACAAAGACCCATAAAATTTGTACAAAGACCCCAACATCTGTACAAAGACCCCTAAAACCTGTACAAAGACCCCAACATCTGTACAAAGACCTCTAAAATCTGTACAAAGACCCCAACATCTGTACAAAGATGCCTAAAATTTGTACAAAGACTCCAACATCTGTATGGAGACCTCCAGCTGCAGAGCAGTCCGGTCCTACAACCTGGAGGGTCTCTGGACCTTCAGGAAGCAGCTGCTGCTTCTTACCTTGAAGAGTTGATGTCTTTGATCCTCTGACATCATCAGCTGATGGCTGTCGGTTACCATGGCGTCCATGTCCATCAGCCAATCCCAGAGCTCCTGGAACTCTGCTTCAAACTCCTGTAAACTGAAACAAACAAGGACACATGGAGTCATACGTTGTGTTCTTTAATCAAACTGGACCTTCAGTTAAACATGTGGAAAATATTATTTACCCAAGACAGAAACATGTGATCCAAGAATACAAAACACTGTGGAATGGTTGTTAAGATTTATTGTATACGCAGACACACACATGTCACACAGGGCAGTGGTACATAGAATATGTGTCTATATAAACAAGAAATCCTGACGACCATTCCACAGAGTATTTTTTATTCTTGCATCACATGTTTCTGTTTTGGGTAAATAATACTTTCCACAACAATTGGTGTCAACGAACAGGATCCATGCAGAAGTTCCACAGACTGAGACCACATCCATCAGTGGATTAAACACTGGGATCAGGAGATCTCCCTCTGGACTCGTGATATGGACTCAGACTGYGACTCCAAGATGGATCAAAAAAACTTTTTCTGACAGAAACGTGATGAGGTGGATTTTTTTTCTATAAATAAATCTAAAATATATAATTTGGCAACTTATGCAGGAAAATTAAAAAAGAATTCTGGACCTCTGGGACTAGACAGAGGTGGTTAGAGTCTGTCTACGGTGGGAAAATGGCTCGAGTTTTTTTCCTGGGGTTGTGTAACTTCTATGGTTGAGTCTTGTGTAGTACAAGACTCGTAATGCCGGGTCTGGGACACCTTGTGAGTCTGTTGAGGATAAAGGACGGCCGTCCAGCAGTTTCAGGGAAGATGTTTTGTTTCTTTGTCTAACAAACTTAGACATTGGTCAGGGTCACGGCACAGAGTCTGTCCAGAACCGGAGCGTCCCATWGTAGAGAAAATGATGAATAATATTTTCCACAACACATGGAGGGAAACAGAACATTCTGATGGAAGCAGGGAAGAAGAAGCTTTAAATTAATAATCTGTAACTTTGTCCATCCATCCATCCATCCATTTTCTTCCGCCTATCCGGGGTCGGGTCGCGGGGGCAGCAGCTTCAGAAGGGAGGCCCAGACCTCCCTCTCCCCAGC